GGTAATTGTGCCAGCCCTCGCCGTAAGAAAAAAATGATACCACGCTGTTATCCGTCGGGTTTATGTTCCTGTGATTCAGATAAATATGATTTTTCACTGTTGCTTTGGTCGTTAGCTTGGTCTCATTAATCGACGGGGATTCATGATATCACATAATCCATTATACTTAATGTATGTTCGCGATTAATTTATACAATAAGTAGATATTAGAAAATAGGTATGATATATTAAGTGGATATAGAATTCTTACATGTTGTACGGTTTTGTGCCCCACATGTGAGCAAAACTATTGACACTCCACACGGCGTTCAAACCAAATGCGATGCGAAACAGATCTATTTTGATCGAATTAGTCCAGGCTTCGTGCCACATGTAAACGGGAATCGTGATCGGTATTATGTGGCAGAAAGTTGTGGAAAATATCCAGAAATACCTACGAAAAAAATTAGATAACATCAGAGGTGAATTTTCATTGATATCGAATTACTCTTTTCGTTCGACAAATATTGTGTCCGAAAAACATTCTAAAAAACGCGACGAAGCTCAATAGTTTAGAATTTACTGTCTTGTGTGCGTTAGACGAGGAACTACTATTCAATGTCTGGCAACAAATGATTCAAATCGATGTGGACTTACTTATCATAGAACACGAGGATAGGATCCGTATCAAGATCGGTTAGATCAATTTGCCGACCTTCATTAATAACTTCCGATTTTTTTTTTACCAATAGCCACCCGACATGAGAAAAGAAGAATCCTCGATTGCTGTTGTGGGGATCCGCATCCGTGTCCATACATTTGTGATGTATCCTATGATCCCGCACCCAAGAGTGAAGAGGTATCTTCGAAGAGGAAAGAAAATCATTGTAAAAATATGTGTTCCCTATTTCTATCTCTTCACAAACAGCACACAATATGTCATGGACGTTTTGTGGGAATCCTTAGGACATCGGGACATTCTCAATACATCCTCAGGACCTCTCGAGGAGATCTGTGCTGCTTGAGCTTCTATATTATTTTCCTTTCTCTTTTGTATTTTCTATTATTTCTTTCTTCTTTTTTCTCTGTATCTTTTCATTTAGTACTTCGTCAATTACTCAAAGTACAGACATTATTAAACAGTTTAGCTTTGAATGTTCAATAAATGATTTTATCTATTTATCTATCCTTCCTTATTCTTCTTCCCAGCACTTTCTCTTAGAGTGGAAAAGCTAAACAGTTATTTATTTTACCTGATTGCCTACGGCGTAGCAAATGAGAAGTATAATTTTGAGTGGGAGTTTCGCCTTATAAGTTCGATGAGTCCATAAACGATGAGCGCCAGCGGTGACACCTATCGCTTGAACTAAGCAAATGAAGAGGCCTTGAAATAAAATATATGGAATCTATTAAATAACATTGTTACGAAAAAATACTTAAAATCGACCTAATAATATGTTTGTGATCTTATAAAAGAACTCACACCAAAGGATCGTCTTTATATTTATTGTTAAGTCGAGAGAAAAGAGACTGTATAATGCACCCAAATGTATCGCAGATATTACTATAATATTGAGCAACTTCAGCTTAGACAGAACATTTTTCCATTCTTTAATGTTAGTAAGGAATTTATGTTTGTTCTGCGCAAAAATTTTATCCATCATTTCCGAAAAATTCTTCTTTTTTATTTCAAGATGTGCATCAATATGTGAAGTGTACTTATTCATCGCCGTTTTCCTGGAAATTTAAGAAAACCATATTATTTTCCATTATCTAACATTATTATAAATTTCAACAGAGAAAAATCACACAAAAATTTACTCAAGCGCTAAGTCTTTAGTTCTAAAGATAAGTATGTAAACAAAAAAGAAATATAAATGTTTGTAATATAAATACAAATGTTATATACATATAAATATAAAGATAAAGGTTAGGTTGGTTGCATGATTTGTACATTAAGGAAAATTGATATCTTGTGAACTTGTTATAACTACGGGCACACATTAAATAGTATTTGTAGAATACTATTAAGTAGCAGAAATTAATATTTCAAGAGATAAATAAGAATAACTAATACAACTCGCTTTCTGATCGATTATTTAATTTTGTTTCTTGCTTGCTCAAAATTTATATGCAAAATTCAGTATAGTGATAGTCTTTTATTAGCGTAGGCACCGGAACGTTAATAGCATCAGTTTTGTCTTGGCCGTGTGTGCTATTTCGCTCATTAGACTGCACGAAACATGCCTAACCTGTCCCCACGAGTATACTCGTTTCACGAAAAGCGTTCAATATTGATGAAGATCGCGCGATTGAGTACTGTGGTCCAAAATTAACCCCGATGCACGGAAAGTACGGAATACGTTATAGTGACGTCACGAACGACGTAGGACTGGTACTGTAGAGTGGCTCCTCGTTTCAGGTAGGTCGAATAGAAACACACTCTCGTGCCTTAACGCGAGCACACCGGCGCGTCGATTGTTCGTTCAGTCATCGCCACTCAAGGACAACTCGATTTGGCCGCAATGAACATTTCGGTGACGCGCGAGAGAATCTGGTTTCGCGCTACGCACGAATGCGCTCGTTATTTTTCATGCATTGCACACGACCGGCAGATTAAAATTTACAACACTTTTCCACGATGAGTTTTGCAAAACGCTTCGTGTCCAGTAGGAAAATTTATTTCCTGAAAATTTCTGAAAAAAAGAAAAAAACATTCTTTCCTATTGCATACGGAATGCTTTACGAAATTCATCGAGGTAAAACGTTGCAACCTTTTATCAGCCGGCTGTATGTGTATGTGTGTGTAGTACGTACGTGCGTGGATATTATCGATTACGGATGTATACATGTGACAATGTATAGAAGAGACCAGGGTTAGCTGGCTAAAAGGGTAAGTTGGCTAATTGATTATTTCTGTTGTTTGCTTACAGAATCGAGTAAGTAGAGATTTCATAACCATTTTTGGCATGTTTGAAATCTCCGCTTGCTCGATTCTGTAATCTGTTGGAAAACAGCCGAAATAATTGACTAGCCAATTTACTCTTTTAGCTTCCCTTATTCTGACAATTAGCAAATATAAGATAGAATTGTTTCTATCTTAGTTGCCGTTCTTATTCTATATACTTTCCCATATATTAAGTACAAAGGAAACAATTGCAGACACACAAATTTTAGGAGAGTGAGTAACAAAGACGTAATTTGTCAGTCAATGGCTCGACTTGTGTCCTCATCTTAATTAACCTTGTGATGTTCGCGACGTCGCGATATTCTACTCATTACTTCGTGTAATGGGGTTAATTTTGGACTAAGGCTCTGTCGCACATCCACGTCAAAGCGAAGGAAAGGGCACCGCCGGCTTTGTGTACAGTGGCCGCTGTCAGGTACGGTTGTTGCGACTGCACCGGATACGTGGAACGCATTTTCCAAAGCCGTTCATCAAGCGGATCGATACAAGAACAAGCTAACCGCGAACTAAATTTGCCTGTTCAGGAAGTATATGGCACCGTGCAAACTGTACGATCGTAAACATGCGGCAAAGCGGCCGATAAGGAGTACAACGATAACACTAGGTTTATTTAACACCCGTGAAATATTATCATTTCCACGTTATTGCGCTCGCTTCTCGTTGTTTCTCTCTTTTATCCTCAAATCTTTTTTTCTTCTCTTTTCTGTACGTTCGCATTTCTAATATTTTATCACACTCAGCGTGTTGCGCTGTCGGAAATCCCGTTGACATTTAACAAAAAATCTCATAATCGGGCACTAATGGCATACAGAATTACAGTATTATCGAGAACCTCATTAGTACGAGCACGTGAATATTAATTAGGGAATGCCGCACAGTTAGGCAAGGACAAAGTACGAAATTCTAATTGATCTGTTTTAACGATAGTTCCAGCCGCCTTATCTAATCGCTTGTTCGCTCTCCTGTTGTACTTCCGCTCCGCGTATGCGAAGTTAGTTGCCAGCTTAGCTCATTTGTAACGGAAGTATCCCGATGCAAACTCACCTTTGATGAACCGAAGAGCATCAGCGGTCAATACGCCGCATAATTCGAACGGAGAAGAGGACAAGCGGCTGCGTATGGAGGTACATACAGTTAGTGTCGCAAAAGCGTGTACGCAATAATTCAAACAGTGGGTATAACATCTAGCACGTGAAATTGTTTTGCGGCGAAGTTGGTAATACACAGTTGGAAAAGTTACGTTTGAAAAGTAACTCGTTACCGTTACTCATTAATCGTTAAAAAAATAACGTGTTACTCGTTATTCACTGAAAGAAGCAACTCGTTATCGTTACTCAAGAAGCGAGTCGTTATAATTTTACGTTATTTTCTCATCGAGTTTTGACTGTCTTTTCTTAGGATTCGCTTCTGCTCGTTTCATATACACATGCATTGTACATATACAACGATAAAAATAACGATTATATACGTAAACGTTACCAAAAAAATGTAGCTGCATTACTGTTATCATTATTAATGAAAAAATGTAAGATCGTGACGAAATTATTACTGAGAAAAATAACTGTAACGATAACGATGTTACAAATAGCGTGTTGCTTCCAAATCCTGGTAATATATCAGGTTAAAATGCTTTGCAAGCTAGATCTCAGTTTCGTTAATGTCTACACGAAATACAAAAGGCCGGAGATGCGCAAGATAGAAACGTGAAAACGTGGAAACGGTATCATCACAAAAGATTGGTTTTCATAGTCCCTCGACACCAATACAATTGAAGATATATGGGCGACCATGAAGAGATGAAGCTTCGAGAGAAAAGAGATTTTTCATTTTGAAACAATTATCATCAGCTTCGCAGACATGGAAATCGTTATCCGAGACATTAGCAAAACATTTGGTTGAGAACATGCCTCGACACTATCAAGGTATACTCGACAATAGAGGGGATTGGACGCTGCACTAAGCAAACGCATTTTATTATATTTTATTATATTATATATAATATACTTGAGGACTGTATTTATAATTTAAAAAAAATCTAGTTTTCTAAGAAAAACAGCGTACGTGCTGTTGATTGTTCATTGACTGCGCAAGTTCACGCAACTCTTTCGCGGTTATTGCACTGTTGGTTTAATGAAGAAGCTCGCAATATAACTCGATAATGACCTCCCATATAACGAAATCTTCATTGTAAACAGTTGCTCGATCGTGCTCACTATGTCCGCAATGAATAACTTTACAACGCCACTGTAACCGCCAAGTTGTTAACAGCGGAGGAAGATGCGCGACACCTGTGGCTCGAGAAAAATCTGTCTCGGGAAGATATATATATATATATATCCTCGAGACAGCTGGTGCGATCGCGACTTTTATATATATATATATATATATATATATATAAAGGTCGAACTAATGACGAACTAATGACGACGCGCGTACCAGCCGATCCTCTTGAAGGTGAACACGTCGATCGCACCACGTCGAGATGAGAATTTCAAATTTCGCTCGAAATCAATCCCCGTCAATCTCCGTGTTTTTCAATTATGTACGTTACATTTACCTCGTGTCGCGCGTTACGCGACACCGAAATCAAACAAAAGATCATTCAGGCGATATGCATGCAGGACATCGCAGTGTATTGTCACGGGAATATTTCCTAGCGAATAATTAATGTAATCAATATATCTCTTTGTTTTATTTATGAGTCCGCTGTCGAATCTCGATAAAATCTCAAACGGTCAAACCTTGAACATTAAGTTGCTATTAATCGTCGAACAATAATAATACATCGAATCCCTCTGTGCGGCCGTATTTTCTCCACTAATTACATTATTCCTACATTATTCGAAGAAACAGAGTGGAAGAAAGAAGATTACAGTTGAACTTTCCAGCGTGCGAAACGAATTTGCGCACAACGCGACCCTTCGGTCGCGCGGAACGCGATAATCGAACACCGTCGGCATAATGGATAATCCCGGATAATCGGGGACGGTGCATTAATGATATTACACTTCACACGTCCCGAGTTAAATTAAAATTGGCGCGGAAAGCGGAAGCGAAGAATTCGTCAGATCCCAACGCGCACGCATTTTTCGCGAAAACGCCGAAGCGACACACGCACACTCGAACACGTATACACGTGTGGGCGCGCGTTCCCCCATACTTACCGTATCGGCGCACAGTGTACATCGAATTGACAAACATTCCGAGTAAAAACCGGCGGCTCCGCGCGTAGCGACCGAGCGGCCGGTTGTTAATTGAAATATTTTAGCGGCGCCGCGCTCGCTGGTCGCCCGCGATCGCGAGGGGAAAGTAGGTGAATTGATAATAACTCCATGAGAAACGATTCATCCCCCTGTACGGGCATCGAAGGGTGCCGAACGCTCATGCGCACGCGTCCGTCGGAACGGGGTTGACGACGACGGTGCACGGCGTCGCGACGCTCACGGGCGCTCACTTGAATCCTCGCCGCGTGTTCGTCGGGCGATTCGCCTTGAAAGAGAGCGCGTCGACGTGAGCGACCGCCCGAGGAGACGTTAATTAGTCCGGCCGGCTCCGTCGTTCGATCGCGGATCTCGACGGTCTCGCGGAGGATCCGACGTTCGGGACGCACACGTGACTTTCGCCCTCTCTCTTCCTTCCGAACGCTCCCGGGAGCGTGTCTCGCGCGAGCCAGAGTAAACCGGCGTGCGGGAGGACACGGCGCATAAGTGAAAACGGACGATCCTGGGCCAGCCGCAGGAGATAACCCGCCGAGGGGACGTAGGGCGCGCGCGCGCGCGCGCGTGTGCGAAAATGTCTCGGGGGTTCGCGATTTAACGGCTCCGACGAAGGTCACCCCCTTCGTACTCGATTTCGCGCCGGACGCCATCGGGCCGACGTGCGACTTATCGCCAAGGACGATCGCACCTGCCCGTCGCTCGATTACGGTCTAGGACGATCGGATCGATCGGAGTGTGTGCGCGGGATCCTGCGATCGAGAGGACGATCTCCGGAGTGTGTGAGCCGGCTCGTGGACGAGCTCGAGCGGCGGGGCCGGTGTGACGCTCCCTCCTGAACTCTTATCCTTTTCCTCCGCTTCCCCCGACGTGCTCGCAGCCCCGACCGTGCCGCTCGACTTCGCCGGCGATCGTCATCGATGCACCAACCCCGCGAACCGCCCATCGTCCACGGCCGTCGGTCGTCGCGCCGTGAGGTGACAGTGCCGTCGCGTGCCGTCGCGTGAAACTCGCCCCCGTGCTCGATGCGTGCACGGAAGATGGAAGTAAGAACTCGCGTTCGTGCGTCCGCGTGGAGCACTAAGGGCTGAAGTTTCGGAGTTCCGCTGGCCTACTTCGGCTCTGTCCTCCGGCCGGAGAGCGCGCGGAGGTGAGAGGCTATCACTTGGTTACTTGTTGCCGTGCATTCCGCGGGCGAAATCTGATTGGCCGATCACGCCAACTGGCGAGTCCCGTCCGCCACGTAGAGATGCTCGCGATCGCCCCAAAGCGATCGCGCGATCGTGGGACGTTTGCGGACGGTGGCGTTCCCCTCGAAATTTCTCACTCTTTCGAGAGAGAGAGGGTGTTATTCTGAGACCGCGTTCCCATCGTTCCACGGTAAACGCAGGGTAGCGTAATTGACACCGAGCGTCTCGAATTTAAGTCTAAGACGAGAGGGAAATTCAGACAGACTCTCTCCTAAACTGCACAGCTTTGTAATTTCATCGTGAATTTTGACGAAAAGATCGAGTCTTGTGTACTCGACGCTCCTCGTCTGAGGGTGGAAGCGGATGGTCGAGCGAGATCTGCTTATATAAATTCCTCTTTGGCGAGTAGAGATTCTTGTCATTGGAGATCGTTCTGTAAGTTATCAGTCGAGATTATCAATCGGACGCGCAGAAACAATGAAGAAAACCGGATGGCTTACCGCTGGTCGAGTGGGCATCGAGCGTCGTGTCGCGCGAATAAAACCACGGAGACGGGTTCGTAATTAAATTGCGAACAATTATTTGAAGCACACAACATCGAGCTTAATAAGTGCCGAGTCCAACCGGCGCTCCGCTCGCGATCGAGCTTCCAGTTCGCGCCGCACACATCGCGGTTGGCCGTGTTGCCGCGTACATTTCGTCCGTATATACGCCGTACTGCACGTCACGTCATAAAATATAAACAGGCTACCAATATAATATGACACGTGACAGGCCGTAATCGAGTTCGCCTTACGACGGGGCACGCAAGATGTGAGAAGCGAACGCGCTCGCGGCAACCACTCCGGTCGTCGTCGGGGATCCCCGTGTCTCGATTTCGCGATTTCTCCCTCCGAGGCATGACGAAAAGAACCACGGTGCGATTCTCCGGTCGACTCCGAGCGACCAACTTCGGGATTGCAAACTAAATATCTGCCGTTCGACGGAGGCGATTAGCGCGACGAGAATATGGACCGCTCCGACGACGATCTGCGAGGCCAGCCTCGCGCGATCGCGACTACCCCCCGGATGTAAACGAACTCTCGATCGCTTTATTCCGCTCAGCGAGGCGGCATCGAGGTCGCGAGTGACAGGCCGTGAGCGGGTTTCGAGTGAGCGGAGGAAAAAAGGGAAGGGAAAAAAACGGAGAGAATCGCCGGCAAAAATACGGCCGTCGCGCGCGATCGTCCTGCGAACAGGAGGCTTGCATTATCGGGTCTTTTTCCCCGCTCTTCCTCCCCCTCCCCCCCCCGTTGCCGCGATACTGGTGGCCCTGACCTACGATCGGCAGAACCGACGAAACGCGAGCGATAATCGAGCGGCTCGTCCGTCGCGGCGTATCGTCCGTCATCGTTTACGCGAAGTCACCCCCCAAGAGATACGTCGCGATTTGCATGTGTCCGATCGCGACAGGACACGTTGTGTGCACAGCTGGGTGCGTCGGATCGCGATCGGGGTACTTTTGTAATTTATTTACGGATGCGTTGATAAAGCCGGGTGCGAAACGGCGATTATCTCAAGCCGCTCGAACGGAAGCTTCCGACTCTGCGCGTCGGTGGAGACGGCGCGTTTAATTCACGATGAAATTGCGCTCGAATGCGAACGCGAGCGGATGAATATTATCGCCGGACGACATTCTTCTCCGAGTCTCGGACACGTTGTATTTTCTAGTTTGTTTAATCAGCCGCCGCGCACGCCGGGGGCTGATTAAAAAAGAAAGGCGCACGCACGAGGGTTTATCGAAGACTGATCACGAGTGCCGAAGGATTCTCGTTAGCGTGTCCTTTGCTCGCCTTTGCCAGGCCGGTCGATAAATATCGATTAGCTCCGTGTACTTCGTGTGGGTACATAAACCTACACCTATATTTTCTTGTCACGGCCGTTTCGCGCGACGAGTGCTCGTGTCTCGAGAGGAGCAATTTTTCCGATAATACGACGGGACTACGAGCAATCAGTGACATCGCATTCGGTGGCATCGGCAAAAAGGAGAGACGGAGGAAAAAGAGAATAGAGACGTGCGCGCGCGCTTGTTTGTAATTGTTTTTGGTAAAAAAATATGTCATGCCGAATTTACTCGGCTGTGCTCGGCGATAAAACCGCGCTGTACACGGCTCTCTCTCTCTCTCTCTATCTATCTATCTATCACGAAAATCGATGTGTAACGTTCAATATTTTATTTGTCATAATATCGGGAGATAAGTGTGCGTATTGCGAGATATATTATGGACAAAAAATCCGAAAGTCTGGGAACACACTCGCGTGTGCTCGTCGCGTATTCGAGGTGATTCGATAAAATTCGCTTCGAACTGCCCCATCGGCGACCTCCGCATTTTATTTCGAGTATTCGGGTGATTTATGATATCAGGAGAGTTTTCATGCGTCCTATCCGGCGCTCGTGCGCCCACCTCACGTGATTCCTGATAATGGTATTATGTAAAATACGTAGACATTATGTAAAATACGTAGGCATTAAGACATCGAGACATGTACATTTCTTTCTTCCCTTTTTCCGTGCAAGATATCAATTTGTTTAAATGTACGCAGGTGAGGCAATAACTATTATATCGCTTAAATACCTTCGAAAAATACGAAAATACACAAAGAAAAATGATTTTGCTGTTGTAGCGAAATCATATTATTGCTGATACATTTGTTGCGACAATAATAAAATTTGTTTGGTATAACCAAATTAGCGAATTATTGGTAATTACAGCAGAAGCAGTTTTGTTGCCAGGATAGAAAATACTCTGCCGAGTGAATTTGTCCTTAGAATACGTTAATTTGCTGTTAGAATAAAACAGTGTTTTCCTACATTTACTGATTTGTTCTTACAGCAAAATTCAGCAAAATAATCCAGCGAACGGCAACTGGTATTCTTAACAAATCGTTTTTCTGTCGATATAGTAACTGACAGATTTTGCTGCGACAGCGTAAAATTTGCTGCGCCAGCGCATTATTTTTCTTCGTGTAGAAGAAAAATTTATTTAACAGAAATTGCATCGATACACACACACATATATATATATATATAGCAATGTTAATCATCACTTCGAACAACTTCTGTACATATAAACTTTCTTTACCTTCGTCTGGATACTGAAATAAATGATATAATATTTATTTCCTCTTTGAAGATATTTAAGATAGTGGAAATTATTGTCTCATCCTGTATTAAAGAACCAGAACAGATTGTACATTGCAAGGACGACCGTCAACGAATGCCCGAGAAACTTGTCGCGACGAAACAATTAGACTTCCACCTTGACGGCAGACCTCACTTTGGCGCGCGGTAATCGTCGCGGAGTGTCGACCGCTGAAAATTTAAGTGACGCGCGAGCGAAACAGCCGGCTATGTACCTGCCGCGGGATTTTTGTTACTTCGAATTAATCATCGGAGCCAAGGCGGCGATCTGCAAAGGCTTCGTATGCCCATTTGTAAACGTCAGCGGACTTATTGCGACAATTATACGCGACGCTTTTCCCGGTTCTCGAAGCTCTCGTCGTGTCGTCGGCGGAAAACGCGTCCGAATCGCGCGTGAGTGAGAAGCGTGAAAGCGCACTCGCTTCGGTACGGAATCCATCGCGAGAGCGTATTCCGCAGGCCGTGTCACGCCGTCATCCTGGCGATAAATATCACGGCGGATATTCACGGTCGCGCGCTCTCGGACGTAGATTTGATCCCAAACGAATGTTTCTTACCGATGAATAGCTTCCGCTGGATGGCGGCCGCTGCTGTCACACGCCGCTACCGCTGATGTTAACGCGCCGTGCGCGTGAAATATTAAAACGCTATTTGCGCTTCGGCTTAATCGAGCCTCGCACTGACAGGACTGTTAATATTGTACGTGGCGGGTAACTGACGGTTTAAATATTTATCGGTACGTCGTAGTACAAAATGCCCCCTGGCACCGTGATACGTACGTAGAATGAGTGTCTTCGCCGCGAAATCATGCGAGGAGAACGAATAATCGTCAGCTGCTAATTTCGCGAGTTGATTAACGTTTAACGTCGCGTGCTCCCTGCGCGCGAGGCACGTAAGCCTGCGAATAAATACTTGGCGATGTCTTCAAACTGAGGGTGGACGTGGGTAATAATAAGGACGGTGTAATATAACAGCCCCTCCTTTTGTTAAGCGTGCAGAATTCAAAAATGACGATTAGCCACGAGTTTAATATGTATGTTTCCCGTAACCCGAATCATGTGTGCGAATAGAACCGCGTACACAGATAACGATACGACGTATAGATTGTCCATTACGGATAGAATTTTAATTCTTCGTAAACATTCGAGAGCTCTCCGGGAGAACCCCGCTAAAACTGACAACACCGTGCAAATTGAATGATTTCATTCTCGAAAATTCAATCTCAGTGGGCGGGTTGAACAGAATTAACGCGTTTCCGCGTATAACTAAATTATCGACTTTTACCGTGTGTTTATTACGTGCATATAAACTTTCTACTCCTCACGAGCGATTAAACAGACCCTATCACAACCCTTCTTCCGCGCTATAAATAAGCTCCTCAATATTCCGTTATCAGCGGCAGCGGGGTGCGAGTAGAAAGTAACGGGAATTGAGGAAGAGGAACTGAAAATGTTTCAGGCCTATCAGACAATTGCGATTATCAAGTCGCAAGTATACAGCTGTCTGCTTATCCGCCTATCTATCTGTCTCACCTACATTTTCGCGGGAGGATTCAATGTTCGCCCTCGTAAATCGAAGGTGCTCTTGATAGGATTAACTACAGGCGCGCGGGACGCGAGGGGGACACGAAAATCGATGTGTACGGGCAAAAGTCTCCGTGTCTCGGCCGAGGTGTCCCTGGGCGATCGTACGAGCGGGGAAAGACATCGGCGAGAAGCACGTGAGCAAACTCGGACGGACGCCGAGACGCAATTAACGGAACAACGAGTAGCGGCTCCT